GGCTCTCACGAATATGGTCCCGCCGTCACCTCAATCAGAAATTCCAACCTGAGCGACAATAGGAGTAGTGGCATCTTGGTTGAACTCTCTTATGGAGATTCCGCTGGCTCAGTGAGCAGGGGAAGGAAGGGAAGCGATTCAAGTGGAGGTCATCAAGTTCAAGAGATCGGAGTGAGGCAAGGAAGGAAATGGAGGCGGGAGAGGACGAAGCAGACAAGGAGAATAAGCAAGAAGGGAATGCGAGTGGTACTGATGGTCATGGAGGAGCTGTCACTGGCAATGATAATGCTGGCGAGCAGAGCCCTGAGGAAACTCAACCAAAGGCCTGACTGGATCCCCCCGACGCTTCTGGTTATAAACCCACCCGATTAGACTGGCGTGATAAATCGATACGGCGAGTGTTGATATGCATTTTCGTTACCCTTTCATGCTTTTTATCGCTTTATATCCCCTCGTGCTGTGTTTCTAGATATCTAATTTTGTACTATTTAACACGTAGATCTTGGTTGATTTGGATTAGATAGTTTTCGTTTCTTCTGGAGCGAAGTTACCTGGATAATATTGCTGTCGTTTTTACTTAGAACGCCTTACCATTGATCGCAGCTTATTAGAGACGTGAACTCAAAGCTTGGACTAAGGAAGTTACTAAAAGGAGTGAAACATATGATTCTAATAATTCTTTAACGAGATCATATGCGTATACTAGATGGTACTAAAAGTGGAGTAATATCTAGCGGACAACTCGTCCCATGGAGACTGCGATGGATGAAATATCTGAAGATAACACGAGAAAGAGGCAACAAAAGCAATGGAAACTATACAAGTACATTCACATGCATAACAAGTTCATCATGTATCTAACCCCCAACCTCCTATCTACAAAACCTATGGCCTTTTCCCTCCCCATTAACGACCTATTTCCCTACTTAGAAATTCTCCTTGCCCCACACAAAAATTGAATCCGGGCTCGGAATACATATTGCACTTCACATGAAGTGTGCTTCCGAGTGGTTTAGGCCCACAAAAGAAAACTCCGCCTCAGCTGGGGCGTGGATCTTGCGAATCGAGCGGAAGACCATGTCCCCAGTTTGGACGGCCGAAAGTTTGTCGGAGACCGCAGTCCGGTGATGGTGTCTTGCTCTGCATTTGCATCGTTTATCATAATATTGGTGGCGTCGTCGACCTTAATTCGGGCGGTAAGGTACTTTCACGATTTTATTGCAGTTAGTAATGGGATGACCGTTGGCGATGGCAAGGCGAGAAGAGGCGATCGATGTGTATATATGTACTTACAGTATGAATTTCAATATGGTTAGCCATATCCTGTGCTTCGATGGCCAGCAGGAGAGATCGAAACCACTCGAACGAGCCGAAATCTCTGCACACCCAGAAGAAATATACTTTGCTTAGTCTGGTCTTCTTCTGGGGATAGTTCATGCGGTACCAGATGCTCTTCAGGATCGAGGCGAAGGGCGTGACACCAATGCCCGCGCCTACAAGAACTGCTATTTCGTATTTAAATACGTCTTCAGACGCGCTTCCGAACGGGCCGTCTATATACACTCTAGGTAAAATTCGACGTATTTTTGGATCTACATCGTCGTCCGGGGTCTCTGTGCCAACGCCCACGACTGCCGAGATGCCCGCTTTGGGTTTCGCTCCGCTGCTGATTTCAAAATCGCAGCCGAGACATTTTGCGAGAGCTTTAGTGAAATCACCCACACAACGGATGTGTACTGAGATAAAGTCCTCCTCGGGAGCACTCGTGAGAGTGAATGGGTGATATTGCCAGACAGATATCTCCGGACAACATAAGAAGATATACTATATTGGTAGCATGGGTTAGAAATTACACAATGATTATATGGGGAAATCTCAACATACCTGTCCAGCCCTCGTTTTTGTGTTCTCCTTTTTGATTTGAATTTCGCAAACGTTATTTGGATGCTGGACGACCTTCGAGATATACGTCTTATGGCGTCCACGGATTTCTCGCATGATACGCTCGAGGAGATAGACGGCTCCCCCATACATCCAAAAGAGCCAGAATACGCCTATGCCGTTGCAAAATGGGGGGAAATCGGGCTTGATCATGCAAAATGCACCATGAACCGCCCAGAAAACGAAGAATATCACAAATAGATGATGCGTGTACCAGAAACGTTCGAAATTTGCCCGGCGTGGTTTCTCCATCGCAGTTACGACGATGGCTGTTAGGGAAATGAGCATAACATACCCTGACCAGCCAGGACCACTAGCCAAGTTGGCAAGTATGAAACCCTTGAAACCAAGTTTTTGTTTGGCTGCAAGCTGGGCGAGGTTATTCCAGTGAGCGATTGTATGGAGCCATGAGAAGAAAAATATAGACCATCCGACAACTAATGTGGGGTTAGTATTTGATACGAGAAAAGTTTGAAGTTCACAAAATCATCGACGAACGTTTGTGAAATGTAATATTTTTATCTATACCAATGTCAGCAGGTATATCAAGAGATCAGGAAAGATGAGACTAATTTACGAACCAAACTGAATAATACCGTTCAGCGGAGTCTGCCTGGCCAGCGATATGAGTGTCCGACAAACAGCTATATTTCGCCAGTCAGCTCGGACTCCGTGTCTGCGCAGAAGAACACTAGGAACATACGGAAGAGAATTAGGGCCGCATCGAAATGTAGAACCAGAGCAGCTGATCGAGCAATAGCATATGTAAGGCCAAAAATCCCTCTCGCCCCGGTAAGGTTGTCCTATAATGAATTCTTAGCTTCAGATTTGTTCACCTGAAATGGTGAAGCATCTCACACACCTTTAGTTGGTAATTTAGAAATGCAAACACGAATATCATAAAATGGGAAATGATAAAAATCAAAACAAATCTAGCGAATCAAAATCAGCAACTTTGATATCATTTGCGATGATTTCCATCCGCAAACCAATCCGGAAGATAAAAAAAAAGGGGGCGTGGGAACTGGATGGATATAACTCACAATCTTCTCCACCCTTCGTTGACCATCCTGTCTCCCGAATCCATAAGATCAGCAATCAAGTCAGATATTCCAAACTAAAAATCAATTCCACCAACACTCAGATCGCCTAAGAATGGAAGAGAAAACGAAAACACACCATCGATCAAATCTCTCTTTCATGGTCAAATCTCGTGGCGGCTCTCCACTCATTTCGCCGGACATCAACATCCTCGTCAAGGGTGGCCATCGTGCCCGTTCTGTTTGGCCGGTCCAGGAGCTCCCTCCACTGCTCATGGCTGAGTAACAATTGATGAATTCACAATAATCAATGAGGAAATGGTTCCAATAAGAAACTCGAGAAACGGTGGGCTGGCTCGAGGATAATGGCTGAATGGTAACTTCAGGGTCGAGATGCTTGGGAAAAATGATGCCCTGTGGAGATATTGTCGTAATGCGCAAATGAAAGGGGTCGTCGTCGTCGATTAAAAAGTATATATCGAGTTTATGTTCTCAATATCCAGCTTGAGGGCGCAATCTCGATGGTGGAGGAAGTAAAGATACTAACATCAAGATGAAAAATGGAAAATGGAGGAAACCGACCCCTCGAAGGGATGAAACCCGGATTATTAAAATGGATAGAAAGGAGTGAACGTTGACGGATATATAATTCTCGCTGCTTTTGATTTACAACAGTTTCAATACCCCAAGCCGTGTTTGCGACGGCACTGCTTTACAGCAAAGCTCTCCGATTTCTTTTGAACCGTTGGCCAAAAACATAGAGGCGTTAGAGC